CAAACTGTTCCCTTTTACGAGCGTACCCCCAGTCACGTAGGGAATAATAGAGTTCAAACTGTTCCCTTTTACGAGCGTACCCCCAGTCACGAAGGGAATGATAGAGTTCAAACTCTTCCCTTTTACAAGCGTACCCCCAGTCACGAAGGGAATGATAGAGTTCAAACTGTCCCCTTTTACGAGCGTACCCCCAGTCACAAAGGGAATGATAGAGTTCAAACTGTTCCCTTTTACGAGCGTACCCCCAGTCACGAAGGGAATGATAGAGTTCAAACTGTTCCCTTTTACGAGCGTACCCCCAGTCACGAAGGGAATGATAGAGTTCAAACTCTTCCCTTTTACGAGGGTACCCCCAGTCACGAAGGGAATGATAGAGTTCAAACTGTTCCCTTTTACGAGCGTACCCCCAGTCACGAAGGGAATGATAGAGTTCATGCTAATAAACCCAAATGTATGAAAGACAAAGTGTGGATCAGGTACCGAGAAAACAACATCTGTGTTAGCACTGAACCCGTACCTGTCTGTAGGGAGGACTGCATCGGTAGCTTAGAGACCCAGGAGCTCACCCGTCACTTCCTCTGTCTGCCCCACGACAGTCCTTCAGTGGGAGAGGTGCTAGAAAAAGTTAGGTCTGGAAGGGTTAACGAATTAGTTCCAAACCATGTGGACAAGATAGAGGTAGCCAAAACGTGCCATTTGTTGTATCCATGACTTGTTCTTTTCTCTTGTTAGATTTTGTTTTCTTTTGTTAATTTTTTTTTGTTAGTTTTCAGTCAAATAAAGCATTTTATAAAGGTTAGCCATATTGTGAAAAACTTATTAATATTACTGGTGAAGACTCGGTAGTCACTCTCAGGGCTAAAAACTTAGTAATTACAATCACTGCTAAGGACTTGGTAATTACACTCAATGCCTAAAGACTCGGTAGTCACTCTCACTGCTAAAAACTTGGTAATTACATTCTCACTGCTAAAAACTTGGTAATTACACTCACTGCCAAAGACTCGGTAGTCACTCTCACTGCTAAAAACTTGGTAATTACACTCACTGCTATAGACTTGGTAATTACACTCAGTGTTAAATACTCGGTAGTCACTCTCACTGCTAAAAACTTGGTAATTACACTCAATGCTAAATACTCGGTAGTCACTCTCACTGCTAAAAACTTGGTAGTCACTCTCACTGCTAAAAACTTGGTAATTACACTCACTGCCAAAGACTCGGTAGTCACTCTCACTGCTAAAAACTTGGTAGTCATTCTCACTGCTAAAAACTTGGCAATTACACTCACTGCCAAAGACTCGGTAGTCACTCTCACTGCTAAAACTTGGTAATTACACTCACTGCTAAAGACTTGGTAATTACACTCACTGCCAAAGACTCGGTAGTCACTCTCACTGCTAAAAACTTGGTAATTACACTCACTGACCAAGTCTTCTAGCAGTGAGTGTAATTACCAAATCTTTAGCAGTGAGTGTAGTTACCAAGTCTTTAGCAGTGAGTGTAATTACCAAGTCTTTAGCATTGAGTGTAATTACCAAGTCTTTAGCAGTGAGAATGACTACCGAGTCTTTACCAGTGAGTGTAATTACCAAGTCTTTAGCAGTGAGAGTGACTACCGAGTATTTAGCATTGAGTGTAATTACCAAGTCTTTAGCAGTGAGAATGACTACCGAGTCTTTACCAGTGAGTGTAATTACCAAGTCTTTAGCAGTGAGAGTGACTACCGAGTCTTTACCAGTGAGTGTAATTACCAAGTCTTTACCAGTGAGAGTGACTACCGAGTATTTAGTATTGAGTGTAATTACCAAGTCCTTAGCAGTGAGAATGACTACCGAGTCTTTGGCAGTGAGTGTAATTACCAAGTCCTTAGCACTGAGAGTGACTACCGAGTCTTTGGCAGTGAGTGTAATTACCAAGTTTTTAGCAGTGAGAGTGACTACCGAGTCTTTAGGATTACACTCACTGCTAAAGACTTGGTAATTACACTCAATGCTAAAGACTTGGTAATTACACTCACTGCTAAAGACTCGGTAGTCACACTCACTGCTAAAGACTCGGTAGTCATTCTCGGTGCTAAAGACTTGGTAATTACACTCAGTTCTAAAGACTTGGTAATTACACTCACTGCTAAAGATTCGGTAATTACATTCACTGCTAAATACTTGGTAATTACACTCACTGCTAAAGACTCGGTAATTACATTCACTGCTAAAGACTTGGTAATTACACTCACTGCTAAATACTCGGTAGTCACTCTTACTGCTAAAGACCTGGTAACTACACTCACTGCTAAAGACTCGGTAGTCACTCTCACTGCTAAGGACTTGGTAATTACACTCACTGCTAAAGACTCGGTAGTCACCCTCACTGGTAAACACTCGGTAGTCATAGCCTAACTCCCAAATAAAAGTAACATTTACTCATTTGACTTGTTTAAACACAATTTCAAACTTTATAGCACTGAACTGCCCGAGTATCACGATAACAAATTCACTAAACTTGCTAACTCGACTCGATTACCACCTGCTGGTCATTTCTGGACATAGGAATAATGAATGAAAATCTGAATCTCACGGACTCTCATTCTTACTTAAGTTATAATTCGTCTGCCCCCACCCCCCACAACTTTAAGTTCAATTCCTTATTCTCAATTTTTGCGTTTACGTCGCATTTGTAGTGATGATCATTATTTAATCTTCAAGACTGAAGAAATTAGTGATATATTTCCCTCGGGCTATCCTAAACGAATAAGACTTTTTCTAAAACTAATCATAAGAATACTCTTGAGTTAAAGACGGAACGTAATAAGTTTATTTTAACTATTCCTTATCACCCAATTGGGTCCCCACAAAGCACCAAAACTAACAGGGGGGGGGGACTTTCACTTCCTTCTCGAACCTTCATGAAATGTCGGGAGACTACTAGATTGGGGTAGTCTTGTATATATAAGACCGGCCAAGAAGCAACGTAAGGTAATGAGTAAGAATATTGTTGAGCACGTGAGAAGTTCGTTGTGAATTATAGCGTTTGTTATAGAGCGACTGTTGAAATTAAGTGTATCGCAAAGTTATATTCAGAAAGAAAAAACCAGCTTTATTTAAGAAAGGACTTGTGTCGCTAAAGTTTCGTCGGAACGAATTTACGGAAAATTAATTAACGAACGGAGACGTAACAAATTGATGTCAGAGAGTGGGACGGAAAAGAAAAAAAAATGGAAACGAGAAGCGGCAAATCAAATTACAGCTTAGCAGATTTGATGGCAGCAATACAAGAACAGCAAAAGAAACAATTTACGTCGTTATTTATGAAGTTTTTTGGATTACGTTTATATTTCAGAAATAATATTAATGTGTTATTTTTTTCTTCACTTTATTATCATTCATATGAAACCGTGAAGTAGCAAATGTTATTTCCGGAAAGGGTCAAACAACCATAGCGTCAACTCGAGAAAACTACATTAAAACATCTAACGAGTCAAGTAACTATTGCATCAACTGGAGAAACATACATTAATAATGTATGCGTAAAAGCAAGAACATTCTTATAACATGTCAACCACGCTACAGCCAGTGTAAAGTATACACAAGCCTGATCTCCAGAAAATAATTGAAAGACCAATACATTCAAAGTACTTATATTATTACACTTTGTAATAATATGTAATTACGTAAAAATTTAGTTAAACTCACAAATACATTTTGAAGCAGAAACAAAAATATATTGCCCCGGGTGAGGCTCGAACTCACGGCCTTCAGATTATGAGACTGACGCGCTGCCTACTGCGCTACCGAGGCTTGTTTATTGCGTTAAATATATGTTTATATATATAAATAAATATTGAGTACAGTTTAATTCTTTTTTTTTTTTTTAAATTTCAATGAATTTTTCCTCAGTCTCTGTTCGCTGTTGGAATGTATGTATATATATATATGTGTGTGTGTGTGTGTGTGTGTGTTAACTACAAGACCACACATATACCGAAAATAACTAAACGACATTTTTCCGTCTGCATTCACAGGCACATGACAGTATTGTTTAGGTCAGTTTGTTTTGTAATTAAGCACAAATCTACACAGTGGACTATCTGTGCTCTGCCCACCACGGGTATCCAAACCCGGACTCTAGCGTTGTAAGTCCGCAGACATGCCGCTGTGACACTGAGGGGCTATTTAGGTCAGGTAACATACTGTTACGTCTCCGTTCGCTAGTTAATTTTCCGTAAATTCGTTCCGACGAAACTTTAGCAACACAAGTCCTTTCTTAAATAAAACTGGTTTATTCTTTCCGAATACAACTTTACGATACACTTAATTTCAACAGTCCCTCTATAACAAACGCTATAACTCACGTGGCCAACAATATTTTATCCCCATACATTCAATTACTCATTGCACTGTTGTCCCGTCACGTTGTCACCGTCTTATATATATATACAAAACTAACACATCTAGTAAATGCTAGGGCATTCACGAAGGAACAGGATATTTCTAGAAAACAGGTGGCGTGATACTAGTCACGTGACCTCGCTGACGCAACACTGCCCCTCCTTAGTATTGTTCGTCCCGAACAATAGCCACTTACATTAAACAATAAACAATTAACAATAACTTAATTAAATGTACAGAATTACGAACACAAAATTACAATTCAACAAAATCTCTTAATTTTACGGGACGTATCTCCTTCCGTACTGGTCTCCGTCTCGTTGGCTTC